AATATATTTCTTGGGAATTATATACACCTTTACAATTACGAGGCTTCAAGTTAGAATCGAACTCACTATTCAGTAGTAATGATGGAGAAAACAGCTTGGTGAACGTTAAGCCCAAATCTAAAGTTGATAGAGAAGAAGGTTAATTAATAAATAAAAAGTTATTAGGTTGTTACATAAATTCGTTCATTTTTTATAATGTATTTTAATACTTATTGTTTATTAAGATTTCTGATAAATCATTCATCAGTTTACTCCTCTTCATTCTTTACAGCCTCCTGCCAGAGATCCATTTACTATCCAATGCTTTGACGATAGAAATCCCTAGGTTTCGACTCGAAAAATATATCAAACCACGTTTTATGCTCCATGTCGTTGTTGAACGAAACACCCCTCAAATTGTTAGAAAGCGACCTAAAAATGTGACAGTCTGAAAGGGAAACATGGTAAGTGTGGTAGAAATTCCCAACGAAGCTTTTTGTATCCGCGAGTAGCCGGGTGACGAGCGAATAAACTGCAAGTAACGGAAGAGCGATGGAGTTTGTTGCTTTCGGTCAATGTGTATGGCATACATGCGCCGTGTTTCTTCACATTACCTATTAATGTTTGGCAGAGTTTTTTTTGTTTTGTTTTGTTTTTTTATTACTTTGATTAAGAGAAAAGAGAAGATATTTAACATGCACCTTCTTATCTGCTTTGCAATCTACTTCAAAGTGGTGTCTAATGTAAAATAAAATTTCAGTAGCATTAAACAAAAGCTTCACAGGATAACCCGAGTTACTAAGAAGCAAAAAATGATACGAAACATTCTTCGAGATCATTCGCAGAACATTAGAAAACAGGAACGAATATATGTAACCACCTGTTGGGGCGCACCCACCTTCTAACCAGAAATGGACTGGTCCCTCTTATATAAGTCAGATCTAGAGAGAGGACGGGAGCGAGAGACAGAGCGTCAGCGACAGCAGTCCAGATAAGCTTACCCGTTACATACCGTTGGACTATAGACTTTGGATATTGTTTCGTACTAACCAACCTTCGTTCTACTAATCACTCTATTGTTAATTGCTTTTACAAATATACCAGTATTTTCCCCTACAACTGTGTTTGTCTTGATTCATACACCGACATGCGGGAAACTCACAACATCTCAACACTACCTAATAAATTAATATAATTCCTTCGTGTTTTTCTCTTTCGTAAACTTATAAAGATGTCTGACCAGTACCGGTAAAAGTCATTTATACAAATAGAAGAATTATATGATTATACTCATCTCTTTTTAAGAGACTGGTTTTCATCATTTACCTGGAACAAGCAACGGAGAGTAATTTTTAAGATGGCATAGATGGAGACGGACTTTTAAATATGTTTGCCCATTCAATTTAATATAATGTTTATCATTACAACATGGCTGCACTTATACGTAACACCTACAAGTTTCCTCCTCTACTAGGTAACGCTATTTGTACACATCCACCTAAGGCCATATCTGAACTTTCATGTAACGACATTATTGCTGCTTCTCGATAGGAGATTTCTGTCCCTCCAAGTTGTTGCAACTGCACGTTACAAAAATTGTGTCCTACGACGTTACGCCAATATTTCACTCAACCTTACGCCATTCGTACACTTCCATATTATAAAATTTCACGATTTCATGATACGCCATTTTGGTTTCTCCACATTACGTAATTTCTGCACCTCCAAGTTACACCATTTTCTAACCAACGAGTTAAACAAGCTTTGTACAACCACTTTCGGCCATGTCTGCACCTGGATGTTATATCATTGCCATAATTCCACTTTAACTTATACCATTCTGCTCTCCTTCGTCGTTACCTTTACATGAGTCACAGAAGTAAACTAGAGATTTAAAAATCTAGTAACTTCAACATTTTTTATAATTCAAGGATATATTTTTCAAAATTTAAATTCATAGTTGAAATATATTCTGACTTAATTTTGAAAAAAGATTTACGACGCAAATGTCCTCTATTTTCGACTTCAGACAGGCACGCTTTTTCGATAACATTCCTCATTACAATGGTTAATAACCCTGACTACAGCCTTTGAATTTCTGCGCAAATGTCATCCTTGAGTTGATAAATTATCTGCGAGTTATTGATGCATACACACTCATTCAGGTTTTCCCCAAAACGTCGGATCAGGAGAACATAGTGGCCATATCATTTCGGAATTTCTCAAAATTATCTGTTGACCAAGTGTTGGCTTTATAACCCTTCTCATTGCCCGAGCCATGTTGTTAAAAGTCTATCCCAGGCTTGTTTTTCACTGCTGGATGCACAAATCCTCCATTATGACTCGATATCGTTCGCTAGTAATTTTCATTACGTTACTATTTTAATCCTGAAAAAATAAGATTCCATATTTGATTACTTGTGATTTTTCCTGTCTAATTTCCCTATATTAATCTAAATTCTAAAAAAAAAAAAAAAAATAAAAAGTATGAAAAATCGTACATGTTATGGCATTTTTAAATACCAAGATGATTTTTGGGACACCATGTACTTATATACATTAAATAGGTGTTGAACAATTTTCGAATAGATTATAACCTTAATTCGTAACACGTTTTGTTTTTTTTTTATATTTTTTTCATAAATTACTTTGATTGCCATCTGAAGAACATTAACATGAAGTGCTGAACGTTGCTGAAACGTTTTAAGTACATAATTTTATATTTACGCATTTAATCATCAAACTCAAATCTTATTGTCCAAACTGTTAGGAGAGTGGAATAAACGAAACTTTACAGATCGAATGTCATTGACAAGGACATTGGGATTAGAGGTTTGTTTTCCCTTTTTATTAAATTTTAATATCACGCTGCACCAGTATATATGCGAATATTACGTAGTCTGTCTCCAAACATAAACAGTAACGAACCCAGGGATGAGGAACTGTAAACGACTAAAGAATAACAAAGCTTTACTTGACATTGTGGCTATACAATACACCAAATTAAAAGAAACTAGTTACTCAGGTTCATGAAGGAGACTTGGAATTAGAAGCAAATCTGAAAGTACTTTGATATATCACGCATTAATACACCGTGGAAACAAAAAGTTAACTCTAAGAACTCTCACTCGCAAAGAGATATCTCAATCATTATTATATCATACTAAAAGTACTAATAAATATTATATTGTTGTAGAGTAGTTTCACAGTGGAGGCTTGTATTCGTACTAAGTCGGTTCTAAAATAGGTTCGACGTACAAAACGTTAGGAACTTGAAATAATAGTTAATGACGCAGCAATCTAGTTGTGGTGGTTGATACTTTAATGTCCGACATCGACTGACTCACCAACTCACACTGAGCTCCCTCTGTCGACTGCTACTACTACTACTTATTATTTATAGAATAGGTATGTTCCGGTATAACATATATATAGTAAGCTCTCACCACTCTATTGAAATTCAACTCCTAACGACCAAATTTGGATTTTATTCCTTATAAAGACGAAATATATCATCTAAGAACTCGAAGAAATTGCATACGTCTCCATCTGGTGACATGTCGACGTCCCGGCATCATATAACCACACCAAGAAAGACTTCCTTTTCATGCCCATTAGAAACCTTCTCTAGTTAGTGTCTGGATGTAATAGAGGAACTATATTGGTCAACAAAATCTTATATGTCTGGCGAGGATCTCAATACAGAAACATTTCATAACTCACATAAGACAAGGAGGAAATGAGAACCTCTTCGTAGGCTAATGTTCTGCGCATATACAAGCACAGATGCGAAGAGATGGGCACCGATCATGTCAGTAATCCGTACATCATCCCAAACAAATCTAGTAATAGAAAACATAGATCCTACTTCTCGTCACGAAGCCTACGTGTTGATGATGAAGGTAGCTCTGTTTATGAGATAGGTATTTCTAGTTGCGATGGGAATAACCTTGAAGACAAAAATCAACCTTCTCTTTGTTTGTGGATCATTTATCATGGACTTAGTTTAGTATAGAAGGAAATTGAACATAGTATAGTTTGCACTAGAGGTCGTTTGGCCGAATCCTGTAAGATACTATAAATCTAAAACCTTAACTTCAGAATTCAGACAGGTGATCGGTTGATGATAACAAAGATGAAGACAATAGTGCAAGTGTAAATAGTTTAAATATGGATAACACCTCGTCCCAGAAATTCAGACAGAAGACGATCATGTGATAATGACAATAAAGATAAGGACAATAATCTGAGTGTAAATAATAACTCCTCATTCCAGAAATTCACACACAATTTCGCTTTTCGTTAAACAAGTCTAACCAAAGCTTCCATTAATATAGCAACTTAAAAAAAAAATCTTTCGCATAGTTCGCTTTAAAAAGAAAGTAATTTGGTGCCGATCAGATTTTTTCATAATCTTTTTTTTTTATCTACAAAACCAAAGAATTTCTGATACTCATATTCTGCTCTATAGTGAACGGTCACACCGTCTTTCTCAGCTACACATGATAGGAATAAAAATGCAGTTAATTTTAATAATCTTCACGCTCTCAAGCCTGAAGGTTGTACACTTGTCTCCTGCTAATACTGTGCGTGGGCCTGAAATAATCGTGGTAAACCATCTAAAATCATTATCCACAAAATCCAGTAATGATATATCCACGAATATTATCTCTCTATTCACCTATCAGACTGCACCCTTAAATCTATTTTTTTTCTTTCTTAATCAAAGTCTTTAATAGTGATTTAGCAAGCTTAGTTTACATGTAGCACAAGGTCGAAAGTATAAAACACCCACTGAGAAAGGAGCTCCCTACTCAGTCGTAACTAATTTAGTGAGAAAATCTTAATAGTATCTACACCAGGGCTCAAAGCTCTAATACGGTGGACATGGTGATTATATAAGTAAAGATGGGGAATTCTGTCCGAATAAAATAGAGTAAAATGGTAATAATTCTTCAGTGAAGAAATTCAAAGAAAAATTAATCAGAGCGTGATATATAAATACATATATATTGACTGGC